ATGATCTGAGCATTTAAAATATTCTTAAGAGTCTAACCAGAAAATAAGATTCAAAATCACTAGTTAACTATTGTGTTTCCAGAGCCCTGAGAAGTTTAAAACAATTCAAAATACTATGAAGCTTCTTTTCCCAACTATGGTGGAATTTTCTGAATTTGGTGCGGAACTCTTTATCATGACTATAATACTGATTTGATTAGCTATGACATTATAAACTACTTGAAGTGTAGAAAACAGCTGGAGTGTGACTCGTGCACAACAATAAGAATACCGTATTTGCTTGTTTTGTAGCCCGGGCCCATATTTTTTGAACCAAACTCACTAACCGTGCCCTTATTCAAACCGGCCCTTATTCAGGCACGGGCGCTTGATGATTTAAATGAGAATAACAAAAATTTTGACTTTTTCCACGCACCCCAGGTACAAATCCGCAAAAGAAGAAAAGTTTTGCGACGCCCTATCAATATTGAAACAACGCCCAGTTTGAGTACCACGGTGTTACGTAATCAATGCTATCTGTTATGTAATTGGACGCCTGAGGCGTGAGTGTTATCTACCAGCGCTTAAAATTCAACAGCGTTGTGCCAAAACTTCTTCTTATTTCCTATTTTTCTCTACCACTGAAAAATCAGTTTTCACATCGGGCGGGTATTCAAGCACCAGCCCTTATTTATTTTTATGTTCTGTTCACACAGGCGGCTATTCAAATGGGCCCTTAATCAAGATCGGGTGGTAAAACGAGCATATACGGTATATTAAAGCTAATTTACATATAAACATTACATAATATGGGATTAGTTAGCAAGTTTTCTTATTTGCTTTAGATACATGATATTTTAAACCTTTAAAAACAAATTAGTAAAACAATTAACTTTCCTAACCTTGGGATTTTGAAAAATGTTGATACTTTTGGTACTCGGTAAACTTCATCATCTGCTGTCTTTGCTTGGCCATGATAAGTTCCAATGCGTTCTGGTGGTCGATCAAACTTTGTCACAATTCATCGTTTTCATGTTGGAGAAATCGGATCGAAATATATTCTTGCTACCTTGAAATTAAAAATGCAAATTTATTTACCATATGAGATTTTACGCAATTTATTTACAGTGCAATTTGGTACTCCTGTAGTATGCGAACCAAGATGGCGGACACCAGAACATACTACAGGAGTACCTGCAATTTATTTCATGCAGAATGCAAAAACTTTTGATTTGATCAAGGTTTTTATTTCTGATTTCTAAGCAAGACAATAGACAAGCACCCATGAAACATTCGCTTGATACTAGGCTGATTAGAGCTGATCTAGAGGTTCGACCCAGTCCATTACCGAAGTGTGTAATGTCTTGCTATTGCCTTATCTAACTAATCCTTACTTAGGATTAGCTCACTGGTGGGCCAATAATATGATAGAACCACAAAAAAGTATATGAATGCAAGGTTTTCATATTCAAAATTTCAATATCCTGAATCAGACCCAACTATGATAGATTAGAATAGGAAATGTAAGATTGGACAATAACAGTACAGAACCTAAAATGGGAGAAAAGAAAGAAATTCATATTAATTGCAAGGTTATTGATCCGATTGATTTAGTTGTTTCAGCCAGGACATTTTGGACAAATGTACTTTAAACCATTTAAATCTTATTTTGTTTTCATTGCATCAATTATTTAGTTTCAAGTGTTTGTCTTGGAATGTCACAAATACGAAGAGTGAAAACAAGAGTTAGAAATCTTGATATAAAACATCTTTCATACCCAAGACTAGAGTAGAGTCCGTGTCCAGCAACTTTATTCATTTCAATCAAATTTTTTTTGATATGTGCTCCAGGCTGAGTTGAAAGCAGTTTAGGAAACCTCCATAGTCCTGAAATGGAGAGAATAATGATAAGAAATATAACTTCTTGTTTTCAAACTCCCGACACAATCACTTTAATTGATACAAATCACGGCGCATTGAAATAAAATATTGATTTTATTACAGTATCAACATTAAATTATGACAAGTCTTCAAGTACCGTACAAGTTTTACATTTCATGCACATTTGATCCATACTACCCAAAAACCAGGCTTGTCCATCGACCATCGGACATATTTTTTTGTCTCATCCCACCCCATGGGATTTCGATTGGTATACAATTCAATAAAAATTGTTATTTAGGTTTGGCGAAAAACAAACTGTATTTAGATAGATAGTTTATTTCGAACTCCATAACAAACATAAATTAAAAATGGAGAATTCTGGAGGGCAAGCAATACCTATAAAAAAGTTTAAAACATGAGAAGTATCTCATGTGCCTGCCCACCAGCACGCACACAAAAACATAAGCCCAATTGAATGAGGCTTGGGCCAAACTTGACAAACAAAAAACACGATAGTGTTAAACTTTCGGGCTGTTGTACTTCAGTACTTTCAACAATTACGTTGATAATGACCCATACCTACAACCTCATGCATAGATAATGTGGGGAGTGGAATGTGATAAATTGGCGACGATAGTCATACTCATGAAGCCATGAAAGCTTTAAGAAAAGCCAAGCCACGAAAACTATACTGATTGCTAGATTGGGCATTGCGGAAAAGGTGACAAGTGGTTTAATATACAAACAAACGCAAAACCATGGCGGCAAATTCGGTGTGCAGACACTCATAAAAGCAATTATCAGGGAAAACACTAATCACACGTGAGCAGGTCTGTAGCCTAATCGATACATTGACGTGGCCAACATTGTTAAAACAGTACCGGTATACACACAGAGAACAAATCAAAAATATGCTATCAAATGAATGTTTAAAAATGTTGCGCATTGATATGATCATAAGTTGCACTACAAACGTTACACATGTATAGTTGAATACTCAGTTAGTATTCAAGCGGAATTTTTAGAAATAGCAGTATTTGCTGACAGTCCGAATTCAGTATCATACTCTTTGTCACAAAATAAAATATCTGAATCAATCCCTGATGTATTCATCTTTCGATTCTGTTATGATGTCCGTATTTCCATAATATTCTGTACCGTAAAAGCGCCTAACTTCGGACAAAATTACTATATTTTCGTCAATAACTCGGCCATTTATTGTCCAAACGGTGCCAAAATTGCTCGGTAAAACATTCGTGCGGTAATTTACATTCCCTGCAAATTTCGGTTCAATTGGACTATTTTTACTATTGAAATAATCGATATTTCTTGCCATCTGACCGTTATCCTTCACTGCCCTAACTTCGGACAGTCATTTTCTTCACTGCGTAACCGCGACGCACAGAGAGAAAGAGGCTTCCGATGCGGATGACGTAATCACGTCGTTGCGTGAAGATAAGACGCTCGATCGTCGTCGTAACGTAACATTGACGTCACGACGAAAATGCATTATTTGAAACTTCCGTCGTCCAATGTTTACATCTTTCGTTCGTTATTTTCGATACTTCAGATGAGTATAATAACATGTTAGTCATTTTAATCAGGAAATGCATACGTAAATATATCTGATGCAAACCGTTTCAATCCACAATGAAGTATTTTAACGGGCTTTTATCGAAGTCTTTGAAGTATTAATATTCTCGACGGATAGCTTTTTTTTATTCTGCGCGGTTGTCTTTATAAATGATAATTTATATCAAACACACGGTAAATCCGATCGTGAAGTTCAATTTAAAATTCAACTTAATCTTGTAAACATGTAGGTCCCGTTTATTTGTTGGAGATTAAATTTATTTTTAATTTCGAGTGAATAAAATTCACCCAGGCCGTATTCAATAACTGTCATTTCGACTACTAATCATAAAATAATGGTTAAGTCAGTGTACTGTGCCATATGGACGTTGGAATTATCATAGTTTTATATATTCGATTTTTAACGTCATCGATTAAGTGTGACATGTATTTTCATTAATGTAATTTTGGCATATATTCATACATGACCGAACAAAATACAAAAATATTACATTGGAACGCCGTCTTTATCTTAACGGAATTTGTCATATTGGCTCCGTTGTGTCTGGCGTCAAAATTCATTTCCGCGACGCAGTGTGACGTCGTGTCGGAAGTGAGAGAAAAATAATCTACGTGAGGTTTACGTAATTTTTGACGCTGCGTGAAATCTTAATATTCTTACGGAATTTATAATTCAGAATTTTCGGTTTTATTTAAATCTCGTACGACATCTTGCGATCACTCAAATAAATTATATACATTGTTGTCGCCCTCTACCGAATGATGGTATTTTGACGACGATAGCTTCAGTAGGAGCGACGCTCTGCGCCGTTGAATGCCGGGCAGTCAATTTTCGGCAAAATTTCCGTTTTTTTACCAAAAAAATAATTATTCAACATTAAAAAAGGTGAGAATAGATGTAGATATAACAGCGCAACCTATAATATTTAAAATTAGCAATATACAGCGCGTTTTAGCCAAGATATGGCCGTTCAAAAATTTTGTCCGAAGTTAGGAACTGTCCGAAGTTAGGCGCTTTTACGGTATCACAACCTGACAACCTACGTCTGCAAGTTGTAAACCTTCTTGCAGCGACAAATATTTTATCTAGAACTGTTAAAATATTATACCTGCAATCTTGTGACCAAATATCAAGCGTCAGCATAGATCTCATTACCGTACCGGTACCGGTACTGTGGTACCGGATAATTTTTCTTCTCCTGGTACGGTACCGGTAGCCATACTAACAAGGAAGATGACAGCCTTTTGTATGTGTGTTATTTTCGTATTTCCCTGCTTTGTCAGATTTAAAAAAATTTCTAACAAATTCGCTTGCCAAGTTGATAATTTGGACAGTACCTACCGGTATTCTAACAGATATCGCTGAAGCTAAATCGGCGAACTCGTTCAAAAACATCTCTGGGTATCTCTATCGCCCCTGATGGGGATACCGTCGCCATAAGAATCGTAAGTGATCACCCAAAGACAATGTATAACAACAAGACGTCAAGCTGCCTTTGTTTATTTATTATAATTTAACGTGAATCTGTTGGCCACAGGCTGACATCTAGTGGGAGTTTACTACTTTTGGTCGTCTGCACAACTTTTTTGCGGCGGAACGCGGGTAGAGTGGCGTGTTCAGTAAGAAAACCTTGAAGAATCTTCGTAATAATGGAGAACAAGTATGCGGGAAGTGGTAGAGAAAGGCGTTAATGGTAGGATATACCGGAAGATCATCACGCGAAAAGCATCTGTTCAAAATATCATCAAGGAAAGCCTTAAATGGTGACGCACTGTACCGGTACCAACGGACCTATGCCAGAAACAGCCTTGGACCAAATTAGCAAGGCAACTGCAATCAATTCGTTCTCCGTAAGGAGTTTTGCATCTAAATTAATTTAGTTACCGGTGTTTTTATATCATATCAACCAAGGGCCTGTGTCCCATAGAGTATTTGGAGGGAGCCACCAGTAGGTTATTTCACACTGTCTTCACTTTGTTTAGCATGTAGTGTTTAAACATAATGGGATTTGGATCTACGAATGAAAATAACACTATAAATACCACTGGAATGATAAACAAGGCCATGGGAAGGGAATTATATTTTTTACTGGCATCGAACAAATTGATGGACCTTTAATTTTTTTCCCTAAAAAAGTCCAATACACAGCTCAGACACAGCAAAAATACAAGATTTGAAACTTTCTTTCAAAATATAAATATCACAATTCACCTAATTTTATACTGGAAAACACTTGGTGCATCTACTGGAAGTGAGCTCAATTTAGTCTTGAAACAATTTCTTGTTTTTGTTTAGCAGGTGTTCTCATTGGTGATAAGCTCCCATTAATGTAATGATATCGTCTACGGTTTAGGGAATAGCCATTTTAATGTCAATGTTGTGCAGTCAATAGTGTACTGTTTGGCGTGGAATAAACACCGGCATCGAGATAATATTTTCATATGCGAAGAACACTCTCATAGCAGAGGATTTGCAAAATGTGAGTCGTCTACGTTTTCTTGTTTTCCTGTGACAGATTGTCTTTTTTGCAACATTCAAATATAATAGACCACTTCCTTGTCAATTGTGATCTATGACAATCAAATGTTAATTAAATTCGTTATAATTCTGCCACTTGTTCATTTGGTTTTGCAGCATCAGATTCGATCAGGATCTCTTCAAACCCTAAATTTATGTGTAAAAGATTTACTCATAAAAAGTAATGACACTTGTCAATTGTGATCTATGACAATCAAATGTTAATTAAATTCGTTATAATTCTGCCACTTGTTCATTTGGTTTTGCAGCATTAGATTCGACCAGGATTTCTTCAAACCCTAAATTTATGTGTAAAAGATTTACTCATAAAAAGTAATGACAAAACATGTTTGGAAGATGGAAAATACTGTACAATATTTCTAATTGAACAATCGTCAATTATATCATAAAACTTGCTATATAGCCTATTGCAGGGATGGCGAACCACTGTCACAAGGTGACCCACCGCGTTTTATTCGTGACCCGCCATGGCACAAATAAAATGAAAAAATGCCAACATATCAGTGATAAAAATTGATAAATCAGCCTAAAAATATTCTAACCATAACTAAACTATTATTATGTACCGTCAATTGGGCAGTCAGGGCTGCGATCGCTCATATGCAAATTGTATAATTAGCGGGTTATTAATTAATTAGTGATGGGACAAGCCGTGTCACTATAGAGTCATGAATTTTATTAGTTTCTTGCCTACAATGCCATTGAAAAAACAATATCTTTCAGACTTGAAAAAAAAACATGGAAATCTGAAATAACAATGGGGCAGTGTAAAAGAACCTCAATTCGGTTGAAAGCTGATCGAAAAATATAACACTGTCAGAGTGGAATTCCCTCCCAAACTCTTTGGAACCGTAAAATAATTTGCTGCATCATCCAAAACGTTTTTGGTAGGTTATATGAATGTTTTCCTATTCTAATTTCATAAAATCAAGTGCCATAAAAACTTCATGATAGAAGTGCTGCATAAGTAAAGCCCAAAACTACACCAACACCAACAGAAGCTTATAATATTTGTTTCAGAAGTTTCTTATAGATACAAACATTGATCAAATATCGACCCACTCTCTTCTATTCCGCGATAAAAATATAATTTTTGACCCATTCACTGAAAAAGATTCGCCATCCCTGGCCTATTATATAGTATATTCTTGAACTTATTTGTTTTGTTACATCATCTGCCAGCAATTCAATGATTATATTACTCAATACTCCTAAATTTCCTGCCTTCATTTTGGTAATACAAGCACAATTGTTTTTAGTAAAATAAAAACAATGCTGACACAGAAGCATGTGGTTACAAGTATTGCAAATTGTCTTACATTGTGCTTTTCCCGAAGTCAGATAATCGGTCATTATTCATGTAATGTCATGTGTGGTATCAAAATTTGTCCATGAATTTATCCGGCATGATCCCAACAACTGATATCTATTTGAAAACAATTATAAGTATATTTTAAGTGATTGTCATTGGTATTGACATTTCAAGCTTCAGAATGACGCATAAACATGCATGACATGAAAAATAAACAATTCGAGTAATACATATCCAAATTTAGGTACAGTTTGCAAAGGTTACTGAACAACCAGCCAAAAGTATCGGTATTCATCAAATAGCTATATTATACTTTATACAGGATCTGAAATATGATTTTCTTTTCCAGGCCTTCCTATGGATTTACCAACATTGATACTCACATCAACAATGCACATATGTCTAAATGTGAAAGTCGATATGTTTTTAAAAATCCCATAATACATTATTATGGCAAAAGTTCGCATGTTCCAGTTTTGATATTTTGACAACAAGATTTGCAAAAGAGCGTGGATTAATACATAAAGTCCAAAGCGACTGGTTTTAGTATAGACTGGGAGATCGTGATAAGATCGAAGTCACCCGCTATCAAAATGAACATAATTACTTAATTTTCAGGCGCATTAGGACCGTGTTTATTCAAATATGATTATCAGTATGTAAATAGTATATATGTATGCTCAAAGACACATTCATTTTTAGTTTTTATTGAAAGTTGCTAATTAGTATTCCGCCAAACTGTCAGATGAACTCTTATGCACAAGTCTGAACTGGAATATTCAATTTCCATAAAGTTTTGTTGTTATAGGGTATTTCAAATAGTCTTAAAATCCCTATTATAAGTATTTTTTGTTAGATTCAAACAAATATCTGTAATGCCTGATGATATATTACGATATTCTTAAAATAATTAAATCATAAAAGTAAATTGTTGTAAAAACGGGCTATAATATAATTTTTGCAATGCCAAAAGATTTCAAGTAATGAACAACTTGCAATTTTATGCTGTTATATTTGCCTAAGATTTCAAAATATTTTAAATAAAATACGGTAATCAAAAAGTTTTATTTACGTAGGCTACGCTATATCGGTGCATAGAAGTATTTTATTCATATCATCTCAAAGGTATCCAAATTTGAGAAGAATATGTTATACAATATCGTTATTAAAATATGATTATAATATTGTCATAAATCATTAAAAACCTCAAAAAGAAATGACTTCATATTAGATTTCTCACAGGATAGGAAGGTTACGTTTTAAGTATTATGTTTAGTAGATATCATGTTAGTAGGATTAAACTACTGCCAGGTACAGTATGAATCATTAAAATACGGTAGTTTCTGTCGTATAGGTGCCATGAAAATCCTTCAAAACCGTGAGGCTACATGGCTACTCTGCAGTAAAATACAGGTCCGGTACTGGGTACCGCTACTGTTCCGCGTGGCAACCATTCCAAATCAACCAGTAGTAAGTTGATATCTATTTTATCCACCAGATAAATTTGTCAAACCCTCTTCGAATTCATCTGAATAAATATGAAAACTCCATCCCATACTTCTGAGAACGCAAAAGCGCGGTAACAACGCTAGCGCTCACCGTGGAAAGTCCAAAGTAGTAAACTACCACTAGATGGTGTAGGTGACGACGTAAAAGTACGGTGCTTGTCATCTTGTTGTTATGTAAAATCTATGGATCACCTGAGTTCTAAATACGGTTAAATGGTTTGTAGTGGATTCTATTTTCTACCTTTATTCCTTATCAGCTTAAAAGGCGATGAAAGTATTTAAAACCATGCCCGAACGCACAGGGTTACCAAGTCGTGGGGTAGTAGTCCGGTGGTTGACTACTCCTATACCTTACGTCAGGTGTCTCCAACTCAAAACATGTCGAGGGCCACTTTTTGAAAATTATTGACCACGCGGGCCGCAAACCAAGAAATTAGGTACAGGAATGGGTATCTGAATGTATTGTGTTGAAATTACACTTGAATCTTACAGCAAACAAGACATAAAACATATATATATATATTCATTCACTTGTGCTGTTTATTTGGTCTCGATGTTTGGCCTTATTTTTCGTTGGTTTGCTAGTCTCAAGAAAACATGCAAATGCTCGTCCATTGGTCGTGTGCGGAGGGCTGACTTGCTAACTTTATAGTCTAAAAAACTGCTCGCAAATATAAGAACTGCCAAAAATCGCAGGTATGCAAAGTGAATGTGCAATTAGCTTTGCAAACCTTTCTTTGGGCACAATGGACTGACCGAAACTCTTTTATTTCGTCACAATGAACATGCGAAATTATCGCATTTGTAATTGCAATATAACAATACAAGAGAGCTACGATATCCGCAGAACGTTTAATGACGTCATAGCAAACAAAAACAAATCTAACAGAGCTAACAGATATTTATTTGATATTTAAAATGAATAAAAGTAATAACCTTCTGGAGAATAATTTTATCTTCAACCACTGAAAATTTCAAAGCAATTGGTCCAGTATTCGAAGAGGAAAGCGATTTTTCCAAAACGTGTCAAAGAACAAGGACATTAAGAACAACAATAAAAACAACAACAACATAATATTGAAACGATCGCTATGTCCACTACGTGTCCAATAATAAAACATGAACGTGGACAACAGGGGGGAATTTTGCTTCACTTTTCATAGTTTGTCGGACCGGACTCTTGATGATAAATGACACGATAAAACCTAGTAAAAGTTGACATCGTACTAATTTGTTTTTTTGTGGAAAAATCCCAACCATGACGCGGGCCGCAAAACATTGGCTGGCGGGCCGCATGCGCCCGCGGGCCGCGTGTTGGAGACCCCTGCCTTACGTGGATTACTATCCGGGAGACGTTGTTCGTCACATGAGTATTAGCTTATTTGTCGTCCTTTCGAATTTTTTTACCTTGGGATAATTATGGAAATCCCCCTTTATAGTGAATTTCTTTCAGCGGAGACACGAGTCAGGTATCACTTTCCATGGTCGTCGGTGTTGACCGCCACCTTGCGACCATAGTGTATCATAAATTTTCTTGCACGTGAAGGGTTGAAAGCACGTCATTTTTTATAATTTGATATTGACATTGAAACACGATATGTATTGAGATTTGGGAAGACGGGTCAAAACCTTTTTATACGATCCATATTTTGAAAACTACAGATAAATAATCTTAAGTTTTGAGCTGTAATGACGCAATAATATGCATGAATAAATTTCAAATGCGCAAGACTTCTGCGCATAAAATGTCCTTGGTCGTTAGCAACAGGTTTGACAAAAAAATGGAATGGCGCATTTGTACTCTGTATATCTTTATAGAATGTACAATTTTAATATTATTAAAGTGGGTATGAATGTCGGTAAGACATTTTAGTCATTCGGCAAACCACTGCGTTTTGTTAGGATAAGTATCGTGCTACAACGAACTTCTGCATTGTAGTTTATAGTACCGGTACCGGTACCGTACCGGTACACAACAAAAGTCTGTTCCCTAACTTCTGAACTTAAAACCAAGCTACGATTTCTGAATGTTACGAATTATTGAAAGCAAAAGACAATTACCTGTTAAGTTAGATTTGATGACTTGAAGTGGTTGTTTCTAAATTTGCATATGCACATTTGTATTTAAATTTTTTTAATTATGCAATATAGAAATTGTTTTGCCTGCAGCATCAAAGGTTTTGCTTCCAATATTTGTCTAGTTTATATTTGCGTGTTTTATGTACGAAAAACTTCAAAAGGATCTAGGCTATTTATGTTCATATTGTTTTTTCAGATATATGTAGCCTACATTTTTTAGAAATATGTTGGTGTAGTTTACCCTAATTGCAAACAAAATGGCTGAATCTAAAAGAATCCGCGAAATTGATGATGCTGATTTGGATTGTGAGCCGTCGACCTCTTCTAGTGGTGAAGGTCAATCAACATCTCAGATTGCATTACGAGCAGAAGAAGACAGAAATCTAGACTTTGCTCATAATGTTCAAAGTATAGTGAGACAATTAGAAAAACGAGGAACTATGGTCGCCCCAACACTCGTTTTCAAACAAGGTGGGAAAATATGCTAATATTTATTTTCAGTACATTTACTAAAGCTGTACAATTTTTTTATTTACCGTATTTACTCAAAATTACGCCTATATCGAGAATAGGCCGACTCCCTTGAAACGGCGATTTTATAAAAAATCGCACATAAGCCGGTTCTACGAATCGTGACACGCCGGACGCCTCAAGAAAACGTAAAATGAGAACAAAATTATTGTAACGCAAACATTTCTCACGTTTATCGTTTCTGCATGTTAGCGAGGGCCGTAGGTGGATTATTACCCGTAACTCTCACTTGTTAATTTATGTTAATGAAGTCTATATTGTTTTTCAATGCGTCGTGATTGTGTCGGGAGATTAAAATAGAGTTCCTGAATCAGCATAAAACAATTTCCTTTGATCGCCACAACGACGATTAATTTAGTTCCTTGTCCGTTTCAAGGAAAGAAATAACGCTGTATTAACACATTCTTATAAATCGCTACGAATCTTAACACGCCAGACGCCTTGAGAAAGGCGCAGAACGAAAATAAAATTGCTGTAACACAAATATTTTTAACGTTTATCATTTCAGTTTGTTAGCGACGGCCGTAGATTCTTACTCGTAACTCTTACTTGTAAATTCATGTAATAAAGTCTATATTGCTTTTCATGTGTCGTGATTTGTATTAATGGAAGGGATTGTTGTCGGGAGTTTAAGAGAGTCCCTGAGTCAGCATAAAACAATTTTCTTTGATCGTCCACAACGCGGTTAATTTCGATAAGAGTCCTTATCACCGCCCCTTAACGGATAACATATCGTAAAGGTGGTTAAGAGTCGCGCACCTTTAATTGCCACGAAAGTTTTCACAAAGAAACAACTGGCCGTAAATCGACACTGTTGCTGTTATGTAAAAGAAACGCAAGCGAAAACAAACAATCACAGCATCACATATGATAAGACAATGCACTTTCACAAGCGAGTGTGTGTGTGCGTGCACGCTTCTTATCGTGAGAACTTGGTATGGTTTGAAGCTTTTGGAATTACCGGCAAGTCAGCATAATATCATCTCGTTGCGTGATCAAATTCTGTACGCGAATGAGCCGATTTTTTGGTGCAATCTGAGTTATGCGAGAATAAGACGGTCCCTTAGTTTGGCAACTTTTTTTTGAGTTTTAAACTCAGCCTATTCGCGAGCATATACGGTAAATATAATTCATTTATAGAAAATAATTAAAATTCTACTCAACATATGGTTTCTGGACCTAATAGTGGTGTCATATGCGTTTTCAAGCATTAAAAAATGGATAAAATATTCTGCCAAATATTCAGAACTGGTCAACTTTAGTAACCTTGTAATTCATCCACTAGTAGGATCTATATGGCATAACTGGTAAAAATAAGTTATTCTCAAATTCCAGTGTCACTGCTGCTAATTTCGTTTCGAGGCTGAGTTCAAATTTAGGGTTTTCATATTTTACTTTCACATAAGCATGGCTCAACATCAGTATAATAATAATTGAAACTTTTTTCAATAAATAAGAAATGCCCATGCCAGTATTATTAAATCACAGGTGACACTATAGGAACCAATATTTCTAGAAGTTCTGGTTTTAAGCTTCAACAAAGCAGCAACATATTAGGCAGCACCTCACCAACAAATGAACAGGCAGCCAGGCCTACTGATGCAGAAGAACATGGCACAGCAGGAGAAACACCCTTCCATTTTAAAGGTAGGTTGACTGTTATAATTGTTATCACAGGGTGCTTTTCCTAACTTATGGATAGTCGTGATTTCTTAAGGCCGTTCAAAAAGGATTGACTTTTCAAAGTTGTTGTATCTACAGTAAATTATGAATATTAACAGGAAAATAAGATAATAGAAGACATGGAAATAGAAAGTTCGCGTGTTCGAATCCCATGCAGGAATAGATATGTGCGAGAGGACTGCTGGACTCCTCGCCTTCGTATGGTGGTTCACACGACATGCTTCAAATCCATGCTTCTCAAAACCAATAACCAACTAATTCAATACCCGACCTGGACTGGTAACCGGATGAGACGCTGTGGTTCGGCATATGATTAAGTTGTCTTTTCGGCTTTCCTCTCCCCCGGAATAATTATGTTAATTCTATACTAAATCCCATTCTATTTTTTATAGATTCAATTCGCCTCGGTCATAACCTGTACCTGCTTTATAATGAAAGACTGGCAAAGTATGGTGAAGTTTACAGAGGCTTGCAGACTCATGAAGGTTCTCGAGGATTCGATCCAATCGCCATAAAATCTATCAAACTCAGCGATGAAAATAGGAAAGAAGTGGAAATCATCCGAAAGCTTCGTTCCCACCCAAATGTGATAACTGTCCTCCAATCTGGGACTTATTTCTTTGGTCCAATAGAACATTTATTCATCGCAATGGAATACTTTGAATCTAAAACCTTGACAGACTTCGTCAAAGACGATCCAAAGCCTAAGACTGACGAAGTCAAACATAAACAAATAGAACAATTTGTTGAAGCTGTCGATCATATCCACATTAACGAAGTTCTACATCGCGATCTTAAACCAGATAATATCTTGGTATCGGACAATGGGAGAATTCTCAAAATAA